CCCCCCCCCCCCCCCCTCTTTTTTTTAAAAGAAATCTAGAGAACAATGAAATTGCAAAGGCACTTGGCGTTAAAAGAAAAGAAAAATTTTACTGAAACAAGCATCTTAAAAAGGTGTTTTTTACAAAATGATTTCACTGATAAAATTTGACCAAGTGCTCTACATTCCATGTCCTATCAATTTTTTTCCCCTTGGGAGTCACCAACTTGTAGGTACCTGGGCGAACAACGGCCTTGATGATATAAGGTCCTTCATACTTCTTAGCCAGCTTCCCACCCTTAGTTGGTTGACTTTTCTCTCGTTTCCTCAGAACGTAATCCCCCACCTGGAACGCCCTTGGTTTCACCTTGCTATCAAAGTAAGATTTCACCTGGCGACGATAATTCTCTGCCCGGATCCATGCTTCATCCCTTCGTTCTTCTACGAAATTCAGCTCTACGGCCTGATTCCGTTCGTTCACCTCCGGGTCATAATCCATTTCTCTCCTTGTGGGGATTACTACTTCAGCAGGAGCCCGGGCTTCAAAACCATAAGCTAAGCCAAATGGAGTGTCACCCGTGGCTCTCCTTGGAGTCGTCCTGTATGTCCACAGGATTCTGGGTAGTTCATCTACCCACTTGCTTCCTTTTGAAAGTAGCTTCTTCTTTATTCCGTCTATGATTGTTCTGTTTACGTTTTCCACTTGTCCATTAGCCTAAGGGTACGCAACTGACACCTTCGTGTGCTGAATTCCCCAAGTTTTGAGAAAGTCCTGAAACTCTGCTTCCTCAAACTGGGTTCCATTGTCTGATATGATCTGCTTCGGGACCCCAAACCTGCAGAGTATATTGGTTCCGACGAAGTCGATCATCTGCCTCCCGGTGATCCCTGCAAGTGGCTCAGCTTCCACCCACTTTGTGAAATAGTCTATTGCCACAACAATCCACCTTGCTTGCCCTGCTCCTTTTAGCAGGGCTCCCACAATATCAATCCCCCATCTTGAGAAAGGAATCACGGAGCTGATGGGCGTGTAATTCGTGGCTGGCCTCCCGGGTATATTCTGGAATTGGTGGCAGTTCGGGCACTTGCGTACATACTCTTCGCAATCCTTCCTCATCGTTGGCCAGAAGTATCCCTAGATAATAGCCCTTCTGGAAATGGAATAAGGACCTTGATGTGCAGCACATACTCCTTCATGTATTTCTTCCATCAGTGCCTTCGCCTCTGCTGCCCTGAGGCAACGGAGTAGAACACCGTTGTAAAACTGCTTGTTGAGGATGCCATCCTGTACCTTGTAGGTAGGTGCCCTCATTCGCAACAGACGCGCTTCTTGGGGATCCTCCGGGGCTTCACCGTCCTCAATGTATTTGGCCAACCGGTCCAGCCATTCTAGGGGATCAGCTGATACCCAGATCACTTCACTGCGGCTAAGACTCGGGGTTACCAGCTCTTCGACTGTTGCTAATTTGCTTATGTATTCCGACAATTCTACGCCGAGCTTGGATAGAACATCGGCCTCCGCGTTCTGGGCCCGGGGTATATGTTCAAGCTTAAACTCAAACCTCCCCAACATCTCTAAAGACAAGTCCCGATACCTCTTCATCCTTTCTTCCTTTGCTTCAAACTCCCATGTGATTTGTCCTACCACTAATCGAGGTCGCTCTAAACCTGAACCCTGGATACTCCCATCTTACTAAGAATCTTCAATCCGTTGATCAGGGCCTCATATTCAGCTTCATTGTTGGACACGCGGAACTGAAATCTGATAGCGTAATAAATCCGGAATTTTTCTGGAGTGATCAAGACGATACCTGCTCCGCAAGATCGAGACCCAGAAGATCCATCAATGCTCATTACCCACCAGTCCTTCTCCACCCGGGTTTCAACCTGGGCTCTTGTCATTTCTCTAGCAGTACACTCCACTTGAAAATCGGCGAGTGCTTGCCCCTTGATGGATGGGCGCGGCCTGAACTCCACATTATACTGACTGATGAAGACTGCCCACTTGGTCATCCGGGCAGACGCCGCCAGGCTTCGGGTAAGTGACGCCAAAGGCTCATTCGTAAGTACAACAATCCGGTGAGCCTGAAAGTACGGAGTTAATCTCTTCGC